AAACGAGATTGTACTCGAGAGAATCGACGCCTCATTTGGCAGGGTGGAAGATGCTCGGGCATTTTGGTAGTAACGAGAGCATATTGGGCTACCTCACTGTCAAAGGTATACAGACAAACTTTTCTTCACAGCAGTAATAAAATTTTGAAACAAATGAAAATGTATTAATAATCGACTTGTAATGGATTTTTGAAAGTTTTAACGAGATGCGAGATATACTGCGTTGAAATAAGCAAAGAAATTAGTAGTTTTAGTAAAATTATATATAACGATGTTTTTTATCATATCGACATTGTCGATAAGATAAAAAGAACTCTTCAGTTGTCTTAATTATAATGAGAATTAAATAAAATGAAATTAAATTTCAACATGCACAATTATGTTTCCGCGTTATCAGTTCCATTTATGCGAAGGGTGATTGAATATGAGTTTGAATATTAGTATCGTAAAAATTTGTTATAATGCTCAACATAAGCTGCAATAACAATTGATGCAGGTCGAAGGAAAGTGCAGCTTTCTGACAACGTGCCACGACAATGTGCTCGACTAAATTTATAGCAATTTAGCACCGTGCGACGACGAGAATTCGTAAATTAACGAGTCGAGTCACACTTACGTATTCGTCTATGCGGTAATTTATTTCGACTTAGAAAGCCAGTGGAAAGCTGCTCCTTAGAACAATTCTTGTTACAGTAGGAACGATCTATTTAACCAAAATAATTATCATTTTATTTTACTTCCGTTTATTCATCTTTATAACTACTTATACTTACACAAAGTTGAAATGTTTAAATATGCCAACATGAATTTTAAATGAACTATTCATTTTTTTATTCAAGCGAATCTCGGCAATGCAATGTTGGGACACAACTCTCAGTACCACCATATAATCCTTTAATTCTTAATAGAATCAGCTAAAACTTTATTTAATTACTTTTTTTAATTACTTTTTTTGGGTGATATATAATCTCTTTGTGTTTGTAATTAAATTAAAACTTAGGCCAATTTAGATTAAAAATGCATTTTTCATAATTGGGAGCATTTAATCTCTTTTTTCGCAAGCTTATATAATGAAGTCTAAAAGGTTCAGTTTGTATGATAGCTTTCGGGATTAATAGTTTACTTAGTTTTCGTACTTTGAAGTATTAATTTATTTTGCAACGAGTCTTTTATTAATTTTTTAATTCTAAAAATTTTACAGAGACTTTTTATAACATTAAATTCGTACAGATTATAAATTAATTATAATTATATAGGGTAATTCTCTTTTGTTACATTATTATTTATCCGCCTTTCTACACGGAATATGTATTGGTATAAGGTAAATCTAACAGATTACGACCATTCCTGTGTTTACCCAGCATTTATCTTTTTCCGACGACCCCTTCTGATAATGGCCACGAGACTCGTCGTAAAAGCCGGCATTGTGCCTTTCCCCAATCCTTTAGTTCCCATTTCTCCTTACCCTTGTATCATATCATAGAAAAGGAGATCGATACGCGTCTCTGATATTCTTTTTGTACAAACTGCTACTACAAATCTTACCACTGTACCGTGTAAACAAACTTAAAAAACGACAAGAGTTACGTCTTATCGCCGTAAAAACGGTTACAAAGCATTTTAAGTAGCATGACAAAGTCCACGAACTAAGTTGAATGCCCTTTAAGAGAACAAAAATTTGCTTATAGAAGACATTATACAGTTTGAAATTTTTTTCATTTAACTTTCTTAATGTATATAATTTGCATATTTTCATTCAATTTTTATCTAATAAGATAAGAAAAACAAAGGAAAGAAAGTAATGAACATTCTTGATGATGGACGTATTATTGAGAAAGAAATAGTCAAAATTATTACTAACCATACTTTCCGTATTTTATACATGAATGCGTCACAAGTTGAGAATGTATTCTGTGATTATTTAGGTTCGCCTTCTATGATAAATTTTGACAATTAAGCCAAGACTTACATTTTCCCCAAGACGAACTTTTAGCCTGAAGTTAAAACACAATTTCGCGCTCTTTACACTTGGGTAGATTACTTATAAAAAATTTGCATAATTCCTTTATTATCAATTCAAATTAGTCACTTCTTAACGGAAAGTTGGCTCCATTATTAAAGAAAAATGCGTACTTTTTTGCACTTCAGTAATTTCTCTTCTTTCAAAGTCTGTTTTTTTTTTAACTGTACGTTAAATGTCAGATAAAAATTTTTCTTGCCAGTTTTATACGCTTTTCTTTTTTTTTTTTTCCATTAAGAACGATCGACGAGACGCTCGACGAAAGATGGTCAAAGAGCACTCGAGAAAGCCGTGATTCACACGTTTCCATCCATGTTGTCCTCCGAATGCGAATGACCGGTTAGGTTTATCCACGTCGAGGTGTTTGCGCACCACACGACGGAGTCACGATGCAGCGTACGCGTAATTTCGCCGTAACGGTAGTCGCCGGGTGCAACTCGCAACTTGCGTTGTTCGCGCCCATGGAAAGTGCGTTGCACACACACACACACACCGGTTTCATTTTCATTCACCGCGTATACATAACTCGTTTTGAGGAACGCTGCACCGCGATGCGAATTCCCCGCGTATACATATCATCTGCAATCTTATTAATTCTCCAAAGCCGACACATTTACAGCTTGGTGTTACAATACAACGCGATTGCAACTTCACCGTCTTGATATATGCGTCACGAGTGCAAAAAGACTACAGAAAGATTATCTGATATAACTTTAAGTGCGACAGCTGCATATATCGTTCGTGTATTTAACGAAGATGCAAATATTGCAAATTAAAACGGATTAAACTGATATTAATTCTAATCCGTGTGTTATTTGGAAATAAGAAACTTTTATATTCATGACAAATTTGCATTTATGCAGCGCAAATGAAATTACCGGAATTACATCTCATTATTAATCTGAAGTTTCCTCGCGATGGGAACTTCTCCATCGCGGACAACGCGAACTTGCCAGGCAATGCGTGAGAAATTCGAGGTGGACGACGAGCGCACAAATCTGCATGATAAACATTCGCGCGATTCCTCGGCTTCTCTTTCGCATTCGCAACGTCGGCGTCGGCGGTTTCGCGGTAACGTTGCGTCGCGTCGCTCGTGACGATTCGCGCGGCGATATCGTTCACATTCCACGGGGTGCACGTCACTCAGCAACGACCGTGGCGTCGGTCAAGGAGTCGTGTTCTGAAAAGTTGCAGAAAACTGCATGCTAAATTGAATACGCATAATACAATTGCTTGTTATCATTAAGACGCAGTAAAACGTACGGTCAAAGAGCAAGAAGCATTACTGCCATTGTTTGTTGATGTCTTTATATCAAAGGACTTGAATGATTATAAACTTTAATAAGAGTAATAAGAAGTTAAATTGAAACGCTCAAGTACTGTAATTGTTTATCTCAATATAATACAATATAATTTTATTTTATATTACGTGTTATTATATCCAATCTACCTCACAATATGGTCTCTAAATATTTTATCGATTTTACAATGCATTGTGTAAATTTTCATCAGCTAAACCAATTTTCATCACCTGGACCAATAAACATAAAATTACAAGGAAATTCTGTGATGTGCTTATAATTTTCCTGATGAGCTTGAGAAACTGACAGCCTTACCACGGTTACTTGACGTTGGTCATGAAAGTAGTCTTGACACTAATTCGCACGTTATCAATTACTCACGCCCCGCCGCACTTTTTCATAGCGATCTGACACTCACTTGCGGTATCAGCAAAGCAAAAGAGAGGCGTTTTCAGTATCCTCGCTCGGTCTTTTGCAACAAAGTGTCACGCCTACCGTGAATTGTACAAATTGATATTACTACTCACATTCAGCGTGATTATGAAACATTCCGCGAAGTAAGTACGACTATATGCGCTTCGGTTTTAGTTGAAAACAATTCTTTCGATTGTATTATTTTTTCTTCTCTGTTTTCAAGTGTTTTACGATTACATTTTGATATTGCATAATTTTCTTACATTTAAGTACTATGACTATACTATGTACGAGTTGTTCATTATTTTCTTCGCTGTAATATTGATAAAACGATGTTATATCAATATTTTTTTAATGAAAAATAATCTTGTTGAATCAATAACAGTATTAATGTGGAACAAACAAAATTTTATTAAAACACAAGGGCGTGTATTTATTTCATTAATAGTGTTATTGAATTATTTTTAATTAAAATAATACTATTGATATATTATTTGTTTTCCGTTTTCGATAATTATTTCCATTACAAGTTAATCGATAATAATCAGAGCTGTTCGGAAAATAAAAATGTATTTTCTATAGATTTAAAATGATAAAATGCTATCGAGCTTGGTAGAATTCTGGCAATTACCATACCCATTTTTTCGCGCAGGTAACACTGTTACCTGTGCGTAACACACCAGCACATTCGCGTGCGAGATACTCGGTTGAATTGCTGAACTGCTAATTTCGCTAATTGCTGCGACGAGCTCCGTATATGCATGCTATCACATACTGATAACGATACGTGGTAATTATGGCGTGTGCACGACGCAAGCGTGTATATAATGACAGACGAGATGTATTCGAATTTACATTCACCGTTTCCTGAGAAATCGTGGGAAAATCTTTGATTAATCGTAAGGAGATAATGCAGATTTAAGATGAGATGATATTGAATGATGGGAAGTAAAGTATCTCTTAACGTTGGATCCTACAATCAATCTATATTTCTAAATACAAATTTAATAATAAAATCTCAGAATATATTGAAGATACACAAAAATGCGAAGACTAAAGAGTTTCAATGTCACGATATTTTGAAAGCCTTATAAATTTTAATCTGTAAATACATGATATATAGAGTTTTTTATTTAATAATTCAATGTTAAAAATCTGTAAAAGTTTTATGTACTCTGCTCTTTGCTATGTATATTTATACACAGAGTGACAATGTATTTTTTAGTTGCTTTTTAATATAAAAGATGCAATACGTGCTTTTATAGATTCCCAGGATGTTGACCTGGATGCGATCCTTGGTGAATTGTGCGCCTTGGAGCGACGTTGCGACGGTGACATCGCCGCTACTCCCGCACCAGATTCACAAAGACCCGGACGACCCACCAGCACAAGGATCAACCCAGGCGACAATACTGACATCAAAAATGAAGGAGGTTCGTGCAAAGAAATTTTCTAACGACATATTAAGCCGGCGGCACAGGATGCTTGTTTTCTTGCTGGATTGCTAGCTGGATCAGATTCTTACCATCGTGCCAGCATCGTAATCAATACGGTAACAAGATTCTAATCCAGCTAGCAATCCAGCAAGAAAACAAGCATCGTGTGCCGGTGGCTGTAATCGTATTGTAGCACAATTTCAAGACTTATATTGATTAAATTGTATATGTAGCAATATCTACTTTATATTATTAATTATTATGTCATTTATAATTTTATGAATTATATTATTTGTAAGATATAGTAAAGTTTAAAATATTTTATTTTTATATGCCTTTGATCTTGTTATAGGTATGCGCACTGATAGTCCTGATAATGACAGTGCGTTCTCAGACACGGTGTCCATGTTGTCCAGCGAAAGTTCGGCGAGCAGTAGTGGTTCCGGACACAAGCCACCTCAGACCGCCATGCACACAGCTCCTCAACAACAATCGCACCAGTTTGTCGGTGAGTCTACATTTTATTTTGACCGCGGCGCGGTCGATAACTTTAGAATGTTGATTAATTCATCGTTTAATTTGAGAGATCAATTTAAATATCAAATCTCGATTTTTCAAACTTTTGTTTGTTTTACGAGAATGCATATTTTATTTGATTGAACTATTTGAACGGTAAGTTTTCTATTTTTTCATTCTATTTTTAACTTGTGATATTACGTACTCTAGCTTCAATTTAGGACTTAGCTTTCAAGGCCAACAAATAATTGGCGCGCAGTTTGTTCGAACTGGAGATTGTAAATATATACAAAAATATTATTCAGTATCAAGACTCGTTTTGACCGAATAAAGTCTTCGTTTATTTATTACGTTAAATGTTGAGCATGTCCAGTCGATTTTCACTCAGTATTACTTATTCTATTTTTATTTGTATTTATATTTATACTAGTCTGTGCATCTTGAGTAATTTTGTTTGTAATTATCTCTTCAGATACAGCGAGCAAAGCGAAAGCAGAGAAAATCCGCCTGGCGCTGGAGAAGATGCGCGAGGCGAGCGTACAGAAGCTCTTCATCAAAGCGTTTACGCTGGACGGCAGCGGTAAAAGCCTCTTGGTCGACGAAGGGATGAGCGTCGCGCACGTGTGTAGGTTGCTCGCGGACAAAAACCACGTTCCAATGGATCCGAAGTGGGCCGTGGTCGAGCATTTGCCCGATCTCTTCATGGGTGAGTCTATTATCTTCTATTTGCCGACCGCTAATTGCTAGACTAGTGACGCAACATTTCTTCTCCAACAGACAATATTTACACGTGACATTAATTTTTTATGCTGACATCCTCATTTTTTATCGATATTTGCTAGTGCTTGAAATGGCTTTTTTTATATTTATGTAAAAGGTATTATTAAAAGAAATATTAGATAAATATATATTCTATATATATAATACATTATAAAATTATACACGATTTTAAAGGCGTGTAATATATAACTATGTTATTACTCTTAAATGACGTACAGTGTCATTGTATCTAATAGTGAGAATAATGAGTAAATACTCTCGTTCTTCACATTATTAGAACTTTTTCTGAAAGGAATACATCGTAAGCTCGGGAAGTAATTTTATTGTACTACCGGTGTCAAAATCTGCAGACTAACAATAAGATAATGAGATATAATGAAACTTTCAGAGAGGGTTTACGAGGACCATGAATTATTAGTGGAAAATCTTCTACTATGGACCAGGGATTCCAAAAACAAGTTGCTTTTCGTCGAGAGACCGGATAAAACACAACTATTTCTCACGCCCGAGCGATTCCTTCTCGGTCCCACAGATCGCGGCGGTGGCGAGTACGACGACCACTCGAGAAATATTCTATTAGAGGAGTTCTTCTCAAGCAGCAACGTCGGCGTACCCGAGGTAAGCGAGATGTGTTTACGATCTCATTGCGCCTTGGCAGCCGGACCGAACGAGTTCGTTGACATATATTCCACTTCTCTTCTGCATCGATTACCATTTGCTTCCAGGTCGAGGGTCCGCTGTACTTGAAATCGGACAGTAAGAAGGGCTGGAAGAGGTATCACTTCATTTTACGAGCCTCCGGTCTTTATTACTGGCCGAAGGAAAAGGCGCGCACCGCTCGAGACCTCGTCTGTCTGGCAACCTTCGATGTTAATCAGGTTTATATTTTTATATATTCTTTCTCAGTCAGCGATACATCATATAATACTAATCGCAAATATGTTTTATGCGTTCTGTATTTATTTTATGATAATTTTTAATAATTATATAATCGCAATTATTATTATTGATCCATTATACCTTTTTTATATAAAATAAGATTATCCGATCTTTTTGTTATTATTTGCTATAAAATTCTGCATCCATTAATCATGCGAATTGATTTCTACAAAGGATTCGCTAATTGTTAACCAGGTTTATTATGGCGTTGGCTGGCGAAAGAAATACAAAGCGCCTACCGACTTTTGCTTCGCCGTAAAACATCCACGACTGCAACAGCCCAAATCCACCAAGTATATTAAATTTCTCTGCGCGGAAGATAACGCGTCTTTGGAGCGTTGGATGGTTGGCATTCGCGTAGCGAAGTACGGCAGGCAGCTAATGGAAAATTATCGAGCACTCGTGGACGAGCTGGCGCAGGAGGATTTGGACTTATTGGCACATGCCAGATCGTGCTCGGTCAGTTCTATTGCTGCACCTCCAAATCAAACCCAGTATAATACGACAAATGACAACGCCAGACAGTTTGCGGAGAACGTAAGGCACAGCAACGAAACGACAGTCGCTACGACGAGGCAATACGACGCTCAAAGACAGAGTTATAATTCGGAACAGCGGCAGAGTTATAACAACGATGGCAGACTGAGCAGAGCGAGCAGCTCTAGCTCCAGTGGATGTTTGTCTGATGGGGCACCGAGTAGTTGTGAGGTGAATACAATTAAACACTATTTGACCTACGTATTAACAATAAATTCATTTAAAAATATTGTTATTACATATTACTGTTTCTGTTATATCATAATCATTTAACTAGATACAATTATTTAATTTTTGCATATTAATTGTACGATAGGTGGCCTTCGAATGCGGTGAATTTCCAACCGGGACGATAAAACGGAAGCCGTCTATGAATCCAAAGTTGCCTCTCACATCAATTACGAGGCAATTGAAGGAGGTCGGCGAAACTGTTCGAGACGAACCAGACTCCTGCCCAAGCCCGACAAGTTCGGGATCCGGTACGCTAACTAGAAGGCATAGTCGTCGACGAAGTGGCACTGACTCTGATGGGTCCGGAACATTGAAGAGACATCATAGATCTGGAAACGCGACACCAGTCAGCCCCGTACCTCCTGGCACGCCTGTGAGAGAGAGGGCGAGTCCTATGGGATACAGCAGATCGGAGAGTCAGGAATCGAAAACGCCGACGAGTCCAATACAAACGTGCATGGTAATTAATATCACTAAGAAATTTAATATGAACGAATTTAATATTTGCTCGATACGTAACGAATAGATTTGTGTCCTACAGATGGAGTCGATTAGCTCGCTACCACCGCCACCATCACCATCAAGAGTTGTCGAAGAAGTTGAGTCCGACAGCGAACCGCTTCCGCCCCCACCTCCCGAAATGTTCCGATCGAATCTCTCGCTGGATTCTCTGCCACCGCCGCCAGCGCCTGGTGAACTTCCGATTTGCAACACGCCGGAGCTTACGGGCTCCTCGTTGAGTCTCGCGTCTCTACCGCCACCGCCGAGTCCACTTGTCGGCGAAACTGGAACGATACGTCGCGCTAGACCCAAACAGTCCACCCCTACGAACTCTGTGACTCCCGAGAGCACACCCACGCATAATCCCAATCCTAGGTCACAAGCCAATCAAATGTATACAAATAGTATCGCGTTAAACAACTCAGTCCAGAATTACAATTCGAATACGTCTCCGAATGCTCACGCGAACAATACCGCCAATTCCGTATCCTCTCCGCACAGTTCCTATCCAGGATCGACGGCAAGTACGCCGACCTATACCCCAAACTCGCCTAATTTCACATCGCCACCACCCTTCGTACCACCGCCGGCTTATAGTGCTCAACCGCCACTTACCAATTCCCAGAGTCTCGGCCGGCAAAATTCCAAAGTCGAATCGATATACCAGACCGGTCATCATAACACGATTCAGCCGATTAGGCCGAATCCCAACATGGACACCGTCCGACGTAGCGCTATGAAACAAGGAACTGGTCATTACGCAACACCACCTTATCTAGCCGAATTAAAGGCCGCCTCGAGTCCGCAGCCGCAACGACGAGTGACTATCCAAGAACCACCAACGTCACCCAAATCGAAGACCGGAACCGGCAAGAAGATCTCATTCAATCTACCACCCCAACAGGAACCAGGCAGTCCTGCATTGCCGCAACGGAAGCCGACGCCGCCTAGAAGATCCGACAGCACCAGGCTTACGTCACCGAAGAAGCTGGCAGCGTCTGATCAAGCGCCACCGGGCGATTTCCTCAAAGATCTGCAGAGAGTGATGAGAAAGAAGTGGCAAGTTGCTCAGAAGTGCAAGTTAGACTCGACAACGACGCCGCACGAGGTGCTCGGTTTTCGGGACCCACCGCCTGCCGTGGCCGACTACAGGGAGACCAACGTGTCCAATTGGGTACAAGAACACTACGGTGCGGATAATCTGTATGAGAATGTATACGCTACAGATCCCAACGGACCGGTTGAATACGCGTCCAGTCCGGCCAGACAAACGGTGAGGTTCGCAGATGAAAATCGCAGCATGAACATTGTTAATGCAATCGCGGGCAAGAGACGGCCGCCACCACCGCCGCCCAAGAGGGCCGAGACCACGCATCTTACCACCACCAGGGCGATGCACTGACAATAGCAGATAATCCAGCCCCATCCCGAGAGGCGATGGTATTGCTGTCTTTGCGGCTGGTGGAAGGAGTGAGAACGAAGGCGGGAGACGGCTCCGTGAACGCAACGTTTGGTCATTATTTCGGAATGCCAATTCCGACATAATGACATCGAATCCATTGTTCTAGCTTGCTAGAAAGAATCTTCAATAGAAGAAGAAAATTTGGAAAATATGCTTCTTCAGTAAATTAAAAAAAGAATATTCGTTAATTCAATTTTGAACAGTTCTGTAGAACTGAATTTAGAACGATGATAGAATCTATGTATACGAATATCAATGAAAAAGAATTGTTTGAATTTTCAACAATGAAATTACAAAAAATTAGAGATTATTATGACAAATTATAAGTGCACAAATTATAAGAATTAACGTCGATGAACCGTCCTTACTGGAAGTTCTGATCCTTGACCTGCGTAAAGCAACTGCCGTTTGAAGCTGAACCAGAGAATGTATGACGCTCTTTTGAATCGAGCAACGAACTGAATTGAATTCGAGCCCGCGACAGAGATTCGATGGCGTTATGGCCAATCAACATATAAGAAACACTGCCGCACATACGAAGGATGTGATATAAATCTTAAGCATTGCACCCATGTTTCCGCGATCTAAAGATCGCATGAGGAAGAAGAAGAGGCGATGAGAAGCAACAAAACGCACGATTTTTTTAGGCAAGACGTAGAGACTAACTGACGATTTTATGCAGAATGAAGAGTTCTGTTTGTACGCAAATTTTATAACCGCTAACTGCCTCGTCTGCGATTTTCTCAAATATACTTGGATGTGATAAATAATATAAAATAAAAAAATATATATGCAAAAATATATAATCTCTCTGTTGAAGTTTTCTCAAATTTGATTCGATGAAATAATTGATCAAGAATAATCATTAACTGAATATAATTTTTAATAATATTTTATTAATTTTGTGAATCTGACAATTAAAAAAAAAATGATTTATTTGATATTTCCTTCGAGAGAACATTACTTCAAAAGTATTGCGAAAATGTTTTACGATATATATTCTCTAATAATAATAATGGAAATAAATGTATGTAATATACTATATATTTTATCTGAAGTTTTCGCTTACTTTTTGAATTTTTCGAAATAAAAAGCTTGATGATTCGAATTATACTCTCAAAGAGTATGATAACAAAAGGAACGCAATTCCTTGAATGCGTAAATCGCAACGCTCGAAAAAATATCGAGAAAATCGCTGCAAAGCGAAATTGATCTCAGCTCGAATTGGAAGCAACCCACCTTTTCGCAGCGCACGTATTTCAACAGTGAAGATGATAACTTTCGGACATCTTCTGCGATTAGAGCGTCTTTTGCGATCACATCCTTGTGCATAGGTATACATATATGTATATAAGTTGAGTATGTACGCGCGTTTACATTGCTATATTGACTTGGATGCTGTATGTGTAGATGTATTATACAATCGAAGCACGCTTCGCGATGTGGAACACGATGACGGGATTTACGGTTGTCCGTATGTTCATTGATTATAGACCAATAGAACTACGTAACAATATAACTTTTCTCGTTTGTCATTGGAGCGAACTGCGCGTGACATCTCGTAACGCGAGGACGCGAGATCTCGTTTCTGCCATTTTCCGTTTCTTTTTCGTTCGATAACGGAGAAAAACTGACAATGTCATTTTGACAGCCAGACGGATCAAATGAGAATGTCGAAATTCTCGCGAGTCTCCGATGAATTGGTTAACTCTGGAGGCTAGATAGATAATAACAAATTTTTGGATACTTTAAATAAAGTTGCTGAGAGGATCACGCGAACGTGCTAGTTATTCGTATTCGTTGGACATGTTTATTCTTGACGATTTAACTAACTCCTTTTCTTGTTTCAAATATCCGATTCTTAGAATTAGATGAAGAAAAATGCGATCCAGGTACGTGCAATTGTCTCACGTCGCCGACCGGAGAGAAAGCGAAATATGCGTCGAACGATCGCGAAGATCGTCGCGCTAGCCAATGATGAGGAACAATATCGTGCGTAGCTTCCCGTTTGTGATCACCAATGGAATCTTCAGTAACGATTAGCCGAGCCTTTTCAAGGTCGCGTAGCTGATGTAGTTTTATATCTCGATTTGTATCGCGTTTGCATGACTTACATATGAAAGTTAACGACTCTTCGGATTTACGGAGCATCTGTATCGTCAAATTTTTATATACGAAGTCGGTAATCGCTCGAGATAGCTCGTTCGTGCGATATTCAATCCGTAGAAAGTATTTTGTAAGATTACAGATTTTGATAAAGAAATATTTCACCGTAGTTTTACGCAATTATATGCATCGAAAATTCCAACGCTCACTATTACGAGTAGTTTTTCGACCAGTTTTTGAGCCAACAAATCATTTCTAATTTTTCATCCTTCGATATTTCCGGAAGATCATATCTATGATAAAATCTTATCATCTCTTTAAAATTCATACTGACTGCGTGTGTGCGAGATACTATTACGAGTGACTTATCGATTTGTCTTCAGTCAACAGATCACTTTTAATTTGTCAACATTTGACATTTTTAACTTTCAAAAAAGAATATTTACGCCGTGCCTACGCACGAGAATTTTTCCAATTTGAAGAAAAATGCCGTGTGTCTGTGCCAGTGCTGCCAGTCGGGCCGGGTTCCCCTTCCAGTACCTTCCATAAACCGGCAGTGCACTATTTTTAAATTGAATCTTTAATCTAATATATTTTAAAAAATTTAGATTTAAGATTTAAAAATTAAGATTTAAATATTAAATATTTCCTGTGTACACACTGCCTGGTTTGTGGAAGGCACTGGAGGGGGAACCCGGCCCGACTGGCAGCACCGGACTCTGTGCGTGAGAATTTTCCAGTTTTATAATGGATTCGTGTCGTTCTTTAATATACAATTTTACGATTTTCACGCCGTGCCTGTGCGCGAAAATTTTCTCAATTTTTAAGGAGATCCGCACGATTTCGCATCGGATGTGCTTCCTCGAGCGAGCGCCAAAAGCGAGCACGAAACTGCGTACTGTAACACAATCGAATTACTTAATAATAATAGCTGAAGAGACTAACTTAAAGTGAAACCGTCGATGTCGATTTAACTATATCCCCGCCTTACGTGCGGTTTAATCAAACTGAACCAATAATATAAATGAATTTTTGAGACTAATATATCAACTTTACAGAGATTAATGATCCTTTTCATACGAATTTCTAAAATATATTTGCCACGAGTACGAGTATCAGTGCCTCTGCGCTTAGAATGCGACCCTTATTCTTAAAATATTTGGTTTGTCGAAAACATTTTGACATTAAATGTATATTTTATATTAATTAGCTTTTTATTTTGTTTTTTAGATTTAATTTTATTTCCATTGTAATTTGAATGGACTCACTCCTATACGATTTTTTAAGACTCTCTCACGTAATTTTATTTTCTATTTTGATGGAATTTTGTAGTTTCTGTTTACATAAAATAAGTTTCCACGAATTTGTTGCACCATCACGTCGCAGACTTATTCCAAGTAAATTGAAAGGGACTGGTACGGGACTCGTTGGGAATGCTGGCGCGTGCCGAGATGAAAACTTCTTTTGTATCCGTACTTCTTAAGAAACTTTCGCCGAGCTGAACACTCCAGGCAATCTGTGTAGGTAGCTTTAGTATTCGATGTACGCGTGCTGCCCATCGCTTGATTTTCGTGGGATGGATGAGTTAATCGACCGTCCATTTCCAGTGAATAATTGGATTAAAGCTTTCGCGTTGAGATTAGTGCAATTGGTAATAGAATCTATAGGAATGAAGTCGAGGATAAGAATGATTATTGGTTACTAACAGAAATTGTAACATTTTGATTATTGTATTCGGAGCCGACTTACAATTAGAAGATTAATCAACTGTTAAGTCGAAGTTAAGAACAGATGGAACAAAGTTTATTGTAAATTCCGTTTTTTCTCATTATAACAATTTACATGAGTAGGTTTAGAAATAAGAAAAATATGTTTCTTTCTCGCGTTGAACAACATTCGTATGAAGATAGAGAAGAGCAGATCCTTCTTAAATTGTATACTTTAAGTTGTTCGTATAATTCTGTAAATATTGTAACGAATGGTACCACAAGGAAAATAATTGTCGGTGATGTCGCGCGGCCGAACAATGATACAAATGTGTTTATGTTGTTTGCGAGGAAGAAGTGAAGTGAGAGAAAGAGAGAGTAAGCCTTCAAAGACTTTGGAAGGGATACGAATCTTGCGAAGACTCCACTGCGTTTCGTTTGATTTAATCAATTGTTTCGGCTTGAGAAAATCGCTTCGGTCAGTTATCGCGAGGACGAGAGACCTCGAACGCTGCGTTCGCATCGCTATCAAATCGATTCGATGTAGCTTAACAATTAGACTTTAGGTCGTATTGCAGGTTGTTTCGGATACACTCTGTGCAGGTGTGTTTAAAAAATTGTGACAATACTGACATTATTTCGTGACCCGACGCCAGTTGTTTAGGTATAACGCGTACCGAGCGAACAAAGAAATGCGCAGCAGTTGAAATATTATAGGTATTATATTCATGTTTTTATGTAAATAAATTTTTGGTATATTTCAATGGTCGACGACCATCTTTTCTTTCCCTCATGTCGCATTTGTCGCTTGATTTTATTATAAAAATCTTACATTGATATAATACAATTTTTATTTTTAAAGGTAACTTACAATTACTTACAATTTTTATAATATCGAAATTGTTATTGTGTGAGAAATCTGTAAATTTTTAATTACCGACGTAAATAAAAATTTTATAGGAATACTTTCTCATAAAAATTTTACTGTTTCGTAACAACAATTTTATAATATTATGTACATGAGAGAGGAAATATATATTTATTTAAGTTGTATATTTTTATACATTGTATAATAGTTTGACGTTTGAAATATTTTCCAAGTTTATTAACCATCGGTAATACTAACTGTTGGTTATGAAGTACAGGAAATGTTTTGCATTCACAACATAAAAAATAAATTAATATATAAAATTTCAAGAGAAATATCTATATCCATGAAAATTGCA